CCCCTCCCCTCCTTTCCTATTCCTCTCCCTGTCTTCCCCCCATCCCTCCCCACTCTTCCTCTCTGTCTGTCTCCCCCTTCTTTGCCCCCCCCCCTTTCTCTCCCTCTGTTGAGATTGTAGACCAGGTGGCTGTGCAGATTGTACAGCTCATAGTGATCATGATCGAAGTCTGTGTACATACTATAACTTCATTTCACTGAACGTACAAAGACAAATGCTCTGCTAAAGACGCCCTCAGGGAAGAAAGACGTTCTATCTTGCAGATTAGATCTTGTAAGAACAGCTTTAATGTGAAATCATTTACATACTCACTTAAGCTCTTTTTGTACTCATTTGTCCCTCATCTCTCTCCGTCCCCCAACAGAACCAGATAACGAAGATCACGACAACGACCACCACCAGCGAGAAGTCATCCTCAGAAAAGAGTCTCCAGCTGAAGATCTCAGAGCTGCTCGGCATGTTGGAGCAGCGGCAGACCACCATCACCCGACAGGAGGAGGTCTGTAACACACCAACACCAACACCGATTCTCATGTTAGTTCAGTCGACTGTTTTACCGATGGTCAGCGAGAGAATTCTTCTAACAAAATTTGAGCCAAACATCTACATACATTTTATATTTACAGAAGAAAATTTAAAATCTTGAACCCATACCGGCGTGTTTGCACTTTTCAGCTCCTTACATACACATGCACTGGATTCAATCCAAGGATGCTTTGACATGTAAACAGGGAGATGTGACCAAGCAGTTAAAGCTCTTTAAAAGTTCCTTCCACTGTCATTATGTCATAAAGTCTGCATTGCAGTCATGGTGTAACCTCTATTAAAAAAATGAATGCAAACTTGATGCCCGTGGTAATGGATTATAATACTGTATGTTTTAAAAGCCTGCCAATAGATTTTCATGCTGTATGGAATTCAAGAGAAACCAATGGTTGTCAGGAACTGTAACACAGCAGCAGGTTTGCACAGCAGTTAAAGGAAAAGTTCACCCAAAAATAATACTCGTCTCCAGAAAATGTTTTCTATTAAATGAGTGTAAATGTAAGCATATCCGTGCAAACAGACTTTGGTGGAGGCCGAATGAAAGACAGCAAAAAGCTCTGGAAACGAAAAATCCAAAAGTTTCGGTGCAGCATTATCCAAGTGTCATGCGTGCATGCACAACAAAGTCCCTCACAGGAAAGGCTTTGTTCTGCAATAGTTTAGCAAAACTAGTTGTGTTTGGATTTCCATTAGCCAGCAAATGCATAAAGACACTTGGATAATGCTGCATAGAAACATTCAGAAATTTTTAAAGATGTTTTTTTTAACTTTTATTGCTGTCTGTCATTGCTGCCTCCCTCCATTGAAGTCTGTTTGCACTGATATGCTTTCATGTTTTGGGCGCTGCGCTCTCCTCAAAGTCAAAATGGAAAACTTTTTCATATGTTACTATATAATGACAAAAACTCTGTCTGTGTGTGTGTCTGTTCCACGTTTTTCTCCTCACTGACTTGGTCAATCCATGTGAAATTTGGCACAGTGGTAGAGGGTCATGGGAGGATGCGAATGAAGCAATATTACATCAATTGGCCAAAGGGGGGCGCTATAGCAACCGATTGAAATTGCAAACTTTGAATGGGCATATCTCATGTCCTGTATGTCATAGAGACATGAAACTTTGCACAGAGATGCCTCTCATCATGAGGAACAAATTTGCACCAAGAACCCATAACAAACAGTACAAAAAAATTACCGCCAATTTGATATTATAATAAAAACACTTAAAAACGATCTCTTCCTAGGAAGTTTGACCGATCTGCATGAAACTCGGTGAACATAATCTAGGGACCAATATCTAAAGTTCCCTCTTGGCAAAAGTTGGAAAACTTAATAAAACTTAGCTTCTATAAGGCAATGAATATTGCGGAGGGCGTGGCTCATCACATAAAGGTGTATAACATCTCAAGGGTTTCACCGATCACCACGCAACTTTGTAGGCATATGACCACACATAATCTGAGGGGACCCCTCCATTATTGACCCCATCAAACAAAATGGGGGCGCTAGAGAGCTAATTTCTTATCTAGGCCTAACTGCCATATCGATTTTTACTAAACTTGATAGATAAGTAGAACAGGACGCCTCAAGGTGACAGAAGAAATTTAACTCTAATTGGCAACTGGGTGGCGCTATAACAACAGAAAAATGCTTAAAAATGGCTAAAATGTGACCGATCGCTGTGGCTCCCCCTGTGGCCAAATGTTGTCGTTTTTTTAGTAATTTTTGGTATGACTAAATCATGGTATGTACATAATCCAAAAAAAAAAACTGTCAGTCAGTCATTCTGTCTGTCCCACGTTTTTCTGCTCACTGACGTGGTCAGTTTATGTGAAACTGCACATAGGCATTGAGGATTGGCATAGGTAGAAGGTGACAAAGCTACCAATGGGTATGGACTAGTACAGTGTATTCAGGGTATAGATTTTATTTCTATTTCATCTAATTTGTATTTTTGTAATATTTTGATTCTTTTTTTCAGCACATTTGTTTCTTGCTTCTGACTCTTAAGCTGCTGTAATGTGGATTTACCTGGTGTGGGATTAAAAAAGTCTTGTCTAATCTTATTTTATCGTATCGTTTGAGACCGTAAAAACTATAAACAATTGGGTTTGGGTTACATTTCTTTTAGGTGAACTGCTCCTTTAACTGTGACATGAAGCATGTGTGATTTGTAGTGAATGGGCTCATACATGCAAAACCTCTGGTATAGTCCTTTAATTCTTGTTTATCACAACTTGGGTCATATTTTTGACCCATAATTTCTAGGAGTTATGACACATGATGGAGAAAACTGCAAAATAAGACCCAAGTTGTAATAAACCAGTTTTGTCTTTCAAGCGATCACTTTACAAGCACAGGTGCTGGACAGTGAATAAACAAAAGGAATGTGTTTGTGTTCAGTCATGCAGAAAGATGCAACTTACCTGGAATGAAGTGTATAAATCACAAAAACCAGGCCAGCTGGTGAATGTAAAAGAAACAAACACACACACACTCCAGGCTTGTGAGTTGATTCGTTTCTCCGTTCATTCATTGGTTTTCACCTTTCAGGTCCGACTGCATTCTAACCCTTTAGTCTTTGTGCAGCACCAACTGAAGTTGGCTGTCAGTTAATTTAACTTCGAGAATGCCTTTGTCACCTCAGGGTGCTGGCATGACATAGCTGAGTTTCTCACAAACACACACACAAAGGGCCAGAGGCAGTTCTAGCTGCGTTTTACTGGAAAGACATGAGATCAGCTACGTGACTCTTTTTCCATTTAACAACAGAACCCATTATGTTAAAACGTCGTCGAAACAAAAGCAGCCATGAGGACTTGTACAAAATAAAATACAGTCTAAAATTTTGAACATTATAATTTAAATCTGTAACAATCTGATCAAAGAAAAAATAAGCAAGACTACAAAACTGACCAAACACTCCTTTCCAACTTTAAGAACTTCTAAGTTTTTGATACTTGACAGACACAAATAGATTCAGATGTATTGTTTTAGTGAACTTCAATAGTACTCTACTTTTATCAATCACACACTGAACTGACCTTTGACCTCTTGTGACCCTCAGGAGATCAGGAAGCTGATGCAAGAGAGGAACGACAGCTCCAAGAGCCAAGTCACCAAGACCATCATCACCAAGAGGTACGACAGCACAGCAGACTAGATGAACATTTCTCCCACAACACTGTAGAGCTGAAAAGGCAGAGAATTGAATATTTGAATAATCAATTCACTGTTTAGGTCATTTTTCAAGCAAATATACCAAAATTACTCTACAAATAACCTCTCATCAACACTAAAACACTTTCCACATTGATTGCGTGTTTACGATCAACACTGATAGTTGAAATGGCGAAGCTACTGGACCATTAATAGATAACTACTTCTGAGATAATCAGAATTCATCCAGCTAATGTAGGAGTTACCAAAATTGGTTGTCTGAATAAAAATGATTAAATTAAATTATACCTGGACAGCCCTAGACAGTTAGATAACATCTGCTCTATTTAAAATCAGACTGAATTTACAGCGGGCATAATGTTCTTGTCAGCTACTCCTGAAAAAGTTTTGTGGCAAAGTTTTTCAGGACCAGTTGGAAGAAGTTGCGTGAGGCCGTTAGACTCCACTTGTAGACCTACAGTAAAAAAGTGCCTCTAAATGTTTGTAGCTTACGGAGAACTTCCTGAAATACAGCAGCTGTGGTCATCTTGGATTCATAGCATTACATGATTTCACGAATTGTCAGTTGAGAAGTGGATTATGCCCATTGAGTGGATTCATTATAACACTTTTTAAAAACTACAACTTCATAAACAGAATCTGTCAGTTTAAGCCATAATTGAACATACCTGTGTGTGTAGGTACAGGAACCAGTACCCCATCCTCGGTCTGCTGAGCGACGACTACCAGGTCACCTCGCCCGTCAAAGAAGCCAAGACCATCGTCATCGAGAGAACTGGAGAGATGATCAAACAGGTAAAAACAGGAGAGAGTTTTAAAGGAGGTAACCACATACAGTAATATTACCCACCTACGATCGCTCAACATGGTAAACTGTTAGCAACAGGCACCAGAGTGAGCAGTTAACTGGGACTTGTGGATGACTTGGTGTCAGGGGTCTGATTTATTAATAATAATAATTGGTGGAATGAATCAGCAAACATTCAGCACTGCAGCTGTACGAGAGAAGTGTGTAATTATGATTGGGATCATGGGCAAACTAATGCTGACTAACCTGCTGGCATCGAGGCACCATGCTAAATTCTGTCACTGTCGACTGGTACAACACACCACCCTCACCGGGTCGCACCACATTCAACACTGACATAATGAAGGGTAGGACTCAGAGGTCAGAGTGAGGGTGAGGGGTTTCTAACACTACATGCAATACATACACTGCAAATCAGATGCAATTCAATAAATAATAATTTCTAATTGGGGTTCTGGAAGTTTACAGGGCTCAAGACTGAAACAAACGTAGACACGTAAACGAAAATTTAATTCCAAGTAAGAAAAGACAACAAAACAAAACTAGATTATCAAAGGTTTCAGACAGGAGTAACATTTTGGCTTGCCGAAATTTGAGATAAAATAAGGTTATATTTAGAATGGTACTGGCAAAAGTTTGAAAACTCCACCAAGATAAGATAAGAATTATAGAATAAAATAAAAACAAAACATCATTGTTTAGACTAGTAGACAAACATAAAAAATAGTTCCGTCCAAAACAATTTCATGTGCCTTTAATAGCTGAATATTCTATAATTATGATAGCAGTATTAGTACTTCCTATTTTTAACAACTACACAGTTTTAATAGGGCTGTAAAAGCTGTTGTTTATTGGTCAGTGTGGGACAACTACTTTCTGATCTGATTACAAATCAGATGAACTGGCGCCATCTTGTGGTCAAACTGTGCAGCTGCAGGTTTTAGGTGGAAACTTGCCATTAAATGCTTAGTGACTCACAATTAGCTGTTTAATATCAGAGATTAATATACATGTGTTGTCTATAGCAACATAGAGTTTGGACAAGATGATTAGTATTTGTATTGCATTCATGACAAGCGAGAAATGTTAGTTTTAACTCTGGGCTTTAGAGTTTCTGAATATACATACAGAACATAAACCTAACATTTGATTTATTAAAGATAATAGCAGAGCAACATGGTACATTAAATAAGCACAGCAGAAACATCAGATAGGTTGCACCACCGTGTTTACCTATATATCTCTCAGTTAGAGCTGAAATTGACCACAGAATTAAACAAGTTTGCTAATTTCACATATCTCTGCATCTGCAACTTCATCATTAACTTCAAATCATGCGGTCAGTACTCACACTCTAAAGTCATGTAGGCTATGTGTGGATTGGTTTGTTTATATTTACAACATCTTCAAATGATTTTAATTGATTGATTTTTTGTTGGCATCACCGTTTTCTACAGTCTTTTTATTACAACCACTAGGAGTCGCCAAAGTCCCATTTTCAAATGACAACTGGGGGCTCATGCTGCGTTAATGTTATACCAGAGTTATCGTACAAGTTTCTGATTTGCCCTAATAATGACCAGGAAACTTGTGTATTTCACTAAGCAGATTTATCCTACTTTGCACTTAGAAATACTCAAGTACACAAATTTAATAGATATAGAGTCGTATTGTCAATTATCAGTATTTTAATCCTCACACAACTAACTGTAATCATAAACTGTCTTGATGATGCTTATGCATGAGTTATGCATGACGTGTCCACGATGGTTGCTAGTATCTGCATGACCAAAGTGATGTCACACCATCAGACACACCCCTTTGCAAGGGTCCTGTGTGGCGGGTTTTTGCCTGTTTGAGCACATACGACATTTTCTAACTACACGTATGCAAATGGGCAGAGAAAATGGAGAACTATACAGTAGACATGAGTTTTCGATACACTGCCCCCTACAGTTTGGGAGAATATTGGTTTGCCAAATGTAGAAATATAAGGTACAAAAGATCCAAACGTTTAATTGTTCCATGTCAGCTCGTGTCTGTATGAAAAGCATAACGGCTTCACAAGTTGTTCACTCTATCCATCCCATATTATGTGAGCACAGCATTAACCCATTAAACCAACTAAACCACAACTTAACTAACTGTGCAATGTGATCAACCGTTGCTTGGTAAAGCTGCACACATCTACAAAGAGCAGTACTGTAGGTCGACCAGGAAGTAAGTTCACGCTAAACACGGAATGATGGCCCGGAGTATGACAATAGATCAGACCAAGATTATGAAATCAACAGATAAATCAACTAGCTTTTTGTCCAAACGGTGGAAACTGGTCTGCCTGTTGTTCTCCAGTTGCCTTCTTTCTTTTCTTTTTAAAACTGATTAAACATTTGTACCAAACATAACGTGTGCCTGTGCTTTGTTTATTTCGGAACAGGAAATCATTACAACTCCTTAAAGACACACTGCTTCTCTCCGACAGGAATGATTGAACGACAAGAAGACCCAGACGTCACCGCCCTCCCACCCCGCATGCTCCTCCCCCTCTCCTCCTCCCCCTCCCCTCCTCCCCCTCCCCTCCTCCCCTGCCTCATCCTCAGGGCTCCCAGGGTTGGTGGTGGTTGAAATCCCCCTCCCCCCATTGATTTGGGATGATTGGTTCAAATCTTAGGTTTGACCAAATTGGGCTGGTGACTGTGTAATTTGGGCTTTTCATGACAAAATAATCAAAGACCAAACCTTTACAGAGTGCTACAGTCGAATGGTTGTACATTGGATTACGGTGGAAGTAAAGCAGTCATGACAACTGGGAACTGGGCGAGATTTAATCCTACGAGAGTACGCTTTTATTAAAAAATCTGAGCTGAGATGATTTACTGTGTGGCACAAACACATACTTCCTCTCCTTTCTTACCTTCACGACTGGATTCTGCTTTATTAAGTGAAGATTTAAGCTTGACAACATCCCAACAAATGACAGAAGTCAAAAACGCTCGTTGATTGGCTGCTTCAATGTCATGTGAGAAACGCTAAAATAGTGTATGAAGTGTTTTTAAATAAAAGTCTATCCTACTCTAACATGCTCACTTCTAAATTTAACAGTGACTCTTGATCTGACTCTGTACATTGACGCTGAAACACTGCACACGATATTTTGATTAAGTGTGCGTACGATTTTACCAGGTGAATAAATTATCACACTGCAGTAGGGACAGGAAATCACAATACACTGCCTGCAATCGAATCACTAATCGTGATTCTGTAATATAGTGCAAGACAGTCTTCTATGATACATTACAAACTATGTAACTGAGAAGAAACGACAAATTATATGTGAAAAATCTAGGATTTTGTCTGTATTTGCTGGCTGTATGATGAGAAAACAGAGCTGTCAAGACAACTGTGACAATGATATGAGGCACAAACCAGCAAAATGCCAAACAGTTCGGAGTTAAAGAAGTTGCAGCTCTGTCTCAGTATCACAGGAAACTGTATTGTGATATATTACTGTATCAGTTATTTGTCCCACCCCTACTTGTCAGCTTATAAACCACAGTAAGGCTGCATTCAGAACCATGTGGATGTTGTCTTCTGTCACGTCAAAGGGGGACATCCCCAAATTTCTTGGATGAAAGATAGCTGTTAAACAAAGTGAAACTGAAGGAGTGTCCCAAATCCGTACTACATACTAAGACTCAGCAAGTTTTGATGATGTTTCCATGTTCCGCACATACTAGTAAAGTCACAACATGTAGTATACTCAAACCAGCAAGTATTCAAACTCATCTCCAACGAGCCAGGAGCTGCTCACAAGTGGAAATAATTAAAGTAAATGTGGGTGATGGTGAGACAGCTCCAAAAAGATCTTGAAAACACAAAAGGTACAGTTAAAAAACAAAACAATTTGCTTTCTCTTTGTGAAATTTCACCGCATTGAGTATTTTCATGCTAACAATATGTGAGCATGTTGGTTTTTTGTATGCTAAAAGCTAAAACAGCATGCTCTGACAATTCATATGTACAGTAGTACATACTGTAGAGAATTATGATATTGTATAGATTTAGGACCCACCATGAGTTTCAGTATATATGAAGCAAGCATCAAACAATTCACCACAAGGCGATGTTGCACTATGGCAAGAAATCCTGCCCACACATAGAGCTGGGTGTCAATACTAGTCCCAATTCAATGCCTGAGTTGTGCTACTTGCACTCGTATAGTTCTCTAAATACTCTGAAGACAAATGTTAGACATTGTCTACTTACTGGCAGCTGCACAAGGACTTAATTGGCAAAATGTCATTCAAATCTATCAAATCTGATCATAGAAAGTCGATAAGATTGCAGATTTCAGCAAGCCTTCAAATCCAACATAGTTGTCAACACACGTGCTGCAGACCAACCCAATAGCCAGGAAAAATGTTGGCATTGTAAGTTTGCGCAAACACCGGATACACAACATTTATACGTTATTATGTAGCTGATACATTCAAATGTTATGTTGCTTTATGTTTCAGCAACCCCGTGGTCAATGAGTGATTAAGTTTAGGCACAAAACCACCTGGTTATGTTAGGAAGGAATTGTGTTTGGCTTGAAATACCCGCTTGTGGTGACACAATCCTGGCTGGAAATGAAGTGATGTCTCAGTAAAAAATACTTACTGGGGCACAATCCCGCTAAAACACAACCGTTACTTTTGGTTTGTTGGTCTCGAACGGTGGCCTGCCGTTTCAGCTCATATACTACGTCACAATGTCAACAGTTTCTTCTGGCGACTGGGGTGCACAGACGTGTCAGTCAATACCAATAAAGTACAAAGAGGTTGTGAATTACCTAATCGTTTACAATGCCACACTGTGGACAAGTTGTGATCAGAAGACATGAAGGAATAAAGCATTATATTTCAGCTGATCTCTGAGGGCTCTTGTCTTTCTATCCAAATTGTCCTAACTACAAGGCTCACTGAAGGGAAGACAACGTACTGATGTGGAACCACACGCCTACGCCCAAGTTACCAAAAGAGCTCCGTCTCAGCTTCCAGTTGTCACTAATGCACGTTTAGACAAGACTGGCACCATCTCGCATGTAGCATGAGATCCTCCTTAACGCCACCACAACTGTGCTAGCCCAGGGTACAAGATAGAGGATGTGTTACTATGATTCCTACTCTGCATGTAAATATTTATATAGACCGATATATGTATTGTAAGATGGGCACGCTCAGTGAATGTTCCCCCCCTGTGTGACTGTAGAGCAGCCCTCCTGCAATACAGCTTTGAAGAGCATTTAAAAAAATGTTCTGATTGGGTAGTTTGCTTTCCTTTGTGCTAAATGGTATTTTTTTTTATCTGTCCACTGTGTAATTGTTTATTCTGATGTCTTGTTAGACTTGGAGGTGCATGGGTATGTGCTGTTCACATGTAGCTATTGATATGTCTGTGTATGACAGTGGGATCTGCGTCGGAGCTGTGCGATGCGATGTCTCACATCCATGAGAGGGAAGGACTCCCATGGGTGTGATGCATCGCAGTGGGTGGGTGGGTGGAACTGGAGCATGATGTTATGATGGTGGAAGAAAGTTTTAAAGCAAAATATTATGTTATTGAGTTTTCCTGGTTGACTCTGTTCTGGCTTTTTACATGAGGAAGCATGTTGACGGCTTTGTGTCCATTGGGTGCTCGTCTGTAAGGTGCTGCCACCTGTTGCACTTGTTGTTCTGGGTAGACAATTTACAGCAACCATTACACTTAAACTGACTTCACATTGAGGCTGTTTATTTAATGTTGCTCCTGTGAGCCAAAGAAAGGTAACGTCATCTTGTCAAACCTTCATCCACACTGTATACGTATAATACTCAAACAAGCATTTCTATTCCTCACTTATTTATCTCTTGAAACAGCTCCACATAACGCCACAGATTTCAATATGTGCTTTAACATGCAACCTTCCTCTTTTTGATGACAGCGAGTTAATGTTTGTTTATTCTTAATCACCTAGAGATGACTTATTAATACCACAACAGCTCAAACTACACAAATCTGCCATTTTCTACATTGTAAACTGTACCTGCAGTTTTACTATGGCGTATAAAGCATGAGAGTGGGACAGATAAATGCAGAAATAAATGAACGATTCAAATAACCTGTAACCAATAACCAATAACCTGTTTCCTCCTTTAAAGTAATATGTCACCTACAAAATGACCATTAGCGAATCAGTGAGTCATGCTGTGTTACCTTGAATTCTTGAAGATAACTGTTTTTCTTGAATGCCTCCACTGAAAACGATGAACATACTGCTTTATCGATTGACCTGGGACCATGTTTAACGCTCAGTGCTTCACAAACACATGTATCTGGCTAAAAAACCTTAGTATTTAAGGCTGGCTTTAAAGGGGCACAAAAAGTTTCGCTTTCAGTTCAGTTTTAAATACTAAGGTTTCAGCAAAAATGCATGTTTGGGAGGTAATGAGCATATTATAAGTATAAATGAGACTGATTATACTGCAAGAGGTATGTGAGAGTCTGTAAACAGATGTTTTGATGTAGTTTTGCATCTTTGTACATCTTAGGTCACTTGCAAAATTAAACCTTTCCTTAAACCTGCCCTTTAGATATTTAGAGATTTTATTTTTGTCTCATTTAGACTATTGCAATTCCCTCCGCAGCATTAAGACTCCTCACTTGTACCAGGAAGAGAGACCATATAACCCTGGTACTGGCTTCTCTTCACAATTAAGTACAGAATTGATTTCAAATTTCTTTTAGCTGTTTGTAAAACGCTGCATGGACACACACCTACTTGCGTCTCTGAATTACTCATTCCCTACTCCTCCTCTCAGCCCCTCAGATGTGGAGACCAATCACTGCTCTGAAGGCATTTTCAGTTGTTGTTCCCCCCTCCATTGATATATTTAAAACCTGTCTTAAGACCCATCTCTTTTCTTTTCTTTAGCCTTTTAATTATCATCAGGGATGACATCCCTGACCACACTGCTTAACACGTGTTTGATTTTGTTGTTTGTGCATCCTATTTTGTGTTTGATTTTGTATGCTCTTATTAATTTTACTTAAAATCTCCTATGTATGACAGTTTTTTTATCATTCCTGTGTTTTGTTCATTTTTAAGTTCTTTGTGAATCACTTTGGCCAACATTTGTCGTTTTTTGCTCTATAAAGTAATCTGACTTGACTTGTTAAACGAATTCAAGGTAACATGGCATGACAAGGTGATTTACAAATGGTTATTTTGTGGGTGAAGTATTCCTTTAAGAAAGCCTACTGAGAACTTTTTTGTATATGTTGAACAAACTAATAGTTTCAGCAGTATTTCTGGTATTAGTCAGCCTGGTGAAGACAGGGGATCAGTTTGGTGATAATACGAATTGTGCTGTTTCTGTTCTGCTACCTCCACCCTGAGGTTTTTCATCCGTCCACGTCCTGGATTTGTACTACAGTCTCTTGCATGATTTTACAACTGGTTCGGGGGTCAGGGTGAGTTTTAAGTCATTTAATTTTTCATGGAAATGGTTTCAGATTGTGCAACAGACAAACATTTACAGATACATGTACTGTAAGTGGTTTAACAGGCTGCACCACCAACTCCTAGCT